TGTTTAAAAACATCCAGAGAAGGAGAGTCCACCACATCCCGAGGAAGCCAGTTCCACTGAGGAACTGATCTAACTGTCAAGAAGTTCTTCCTAATGTTTAGCTGAAAACTCTTCTGATTTAATTTCAACCCATTGGTTCTGGTCTGACCTTCTGGGCCAACAGAAAACAACTCTGTACCATCCTCTATATGACAGCCCTTCAAGTACTTGAAGATGGTTATCATATCACCTCTCAGTCGTCTCCTCTCCAGGCTAAACATACTGAGCTCCTTCAGCCTTTCCTCATAGGACTTGGTCTCCAGACCGATGTTCCCTCTAAGTTCCACAGTGTTGTGAGCAAAAAAGAGGAAGCAGCTAGTAGCATTAAAGTTGTGAGTGAGTCTACATTTGACTATCAAATAAATTAGTTTCTTAGAAGATTATTTCCATAACCTTGTAAAAATCTTTTTTTCCCCACACCCCTACCTATAATTACCTGGGGCTTTTATTATCCAGTATGGGGATTTGGAAAAAGCATGTGGTAAGCTGCGGTGGCTCAAGTGATTAAGACGCTGAACTGCAGGCTGTGGAAGGTCAGTAGTTCAGCAGTTCAAGACCTGAGTTGCTGCATGACGAAGTGAGCTCCTGTCTCTAGTTCCAGCTCCTGCCAACCTAGCAGTTTGAAAGCAAGAAATTGCAAGTAGATAAATAGGTACCACTTCGGTGGGAAGGTAGCAGCGTTCCGTGCACCTTGGTGTTTAGTCATGCCGGCCACATGACCAAGGAAACGTCTTTGGACAGCGCTGGCTCTTCGGCTTTGAAACGGAGATGTAGCACCGCAACCCTAGAGTCAGATTCGACTGGCTTTCGAGCAAGGGAACCTTTACCTTTACCTAAGAGATGGTACTGTTGATCTCTAGTAGACTGACACTTGAGTAGGGCAGACAAATTATGCTGATATAGATAACTTGCATTTATTGTTGGAAACATTGAAGTAAAGAATAACACTACAAACTGATGGTTGACAAAGACGTTCAGTCGAAACGAACAACTGTAAACTCGAGAGAGTTCGTATCTTCTCTTGAATTGTACATCCTTATCATCCTGGTTGGACTTTGGTCTCCGGATGAAGTTCACCTATTGAAATCAAGTAAAATCAACATGCTTTTAAGAGTATGAACTTGTACAGTAATTTTCTTTGTGTTATTGATCTCTAGTAGACTGACACTTGAGTAGGGCAGACAAATTATGCTGATTCTAAATATCTTAGATACAGAGCTTATGTGGTACTGAAATTTTGAGGCTTATGCAGCAGCAACATGGGGGAATATTTCATAACAATATTCTAAAATTAATTTTGGGAGTCATAACAATAATAGTCCAGGAAATGCCTTTGCACTGCCAAAATTCACAGTCTGTGCCACCAATAACAGCTGGCTCCATGCACCATAGTGTGCCTTTCTTGTCATTGTTGCTGGGAGCCAAGCCAAAAGGTAGATCAGGAAGGGGCTGATGGATTTCCCAAACAAAACTGGAAACTGTGTCCGTGGTATTTCTGTCTCTAAGACCGTTCCCAGTGAGGAAAACAACAGCTCCCTGGGACCATTTATGGAAAATGGCATGGGGGGGAAGGTTGTTTTCCTTCTTCCCTCACACCATGGTCCGGATCTGAATCAAGTTCTTGCATGCCTGATCATTCAATGTTAAAAAATGTGCTAGGAGCACTGAACATAAAACACCCGATGTGAAAAGTATGCAGACGGAGAGTGATTTCAGCTAAGCATACCTTTATTTAGTTCAGGACAAAGACAGCTACCCGGCTCGCAGGCCGGCTTATATTCCCTCTGAGAAACCCACCACCAAACACCCCCCCACTCCCGATCGGCTATTTACAGTAACCCCTCTTGGCCAGGACCTAGCCCTTTCATTGGGCCTGGCTAGGATCCTATGTGCCCATTGTCTTTAGGACTGAAGCTTTAGGTATTTGTGCCTGGACAAGTCCAGGCATGTCCGGCCCTGTCAGGGCCTGATACACTACACGATGTCATGTTGGGTTTGGCCCTGAGATGTAAAATAGCATTCATTAAGTCCAGGTTCACAAGGTGACGGTGTAGGAACAATTACAATTACTCAGAACAGCAGAGTGATTGACCAAGAGTAAAGTTGTATTGTGTGTATGTGTGTGCATGCTGGTGTATAGCTACGGTATATGACTTAACCTCAGAGTTTTTGAAGGCGTTTTGAAGACCCTAAACATCGTACTTTTTGTTACAGTTGACACACCTGACCCCTATGTGGAACTGTTCATCCCATCGACACCTGACAGCAGAAAGAGAACAAAACACATCAATAACAATGTGAATCCTGAGTGGAATGAGACCTTTGAGTTCATATTGGATCCTAACCAGGAAAATGTTCTTGAGGTACCAAAATAAGTTGTATTGCTGTGCAGATATATAGGGCTGTTAATAAGTTTGGTGGGAGGGTTGGTCCCTCAAAGAAATTTAAATTTAGCACAAAAAAACCCCACGGATGTTGCATTTGTAATCATTTATAATATAATTGAATAGTGGGTGCCAAAGTTCTAATTCTAAAATGCACTCCCTTAGTGTATGGCTGATGGCACTGCTCCTCAGCATATATCGCCACCAATCAGAAGGCAAAGCCCGGGTCCCACCCACACCACAACTACTGCAACAACCTGGTCTTTTGCATATGGAAGCTGATTGGACTTCACTCCATTCCACACCTCAAACTCCCCCCCCTCCGCAAGGCAGTTGGAATGTCAGTTGCATATGGAACTTGCTGTATTCCGGTGGTGTGCAGGTCCCAGGTTTATGTTTTAAAAGCAGACTGACACTGTTTGCCCAAAGCCAGAGCACTCTCCCAGAGCCTCTTTCTAGATCCCGTTGTATTTATTTCCACAACGGGCCTTATTTCTAGTCATTTATAAAGCTGGAAGTTATATCCTGTTATGTCACTTCCCATCCCCATTTTTGATCACATTGAAGTGAAGAATGCTCGCGAGGGCCTGGGGATGGGAGACAAGAAGCCGTGAGGTGCATTCTGGTCAGCCTCATGAGGAAGCAACAGCAGCCTACAGTAACCTGAATGCTTTCTGAGAAGTTTGGAAAAGAGGAAGTGTATTGAGGACCCCAGTAGGAATGTTTTCCCCTTCTCCTTCTGATTTTTGTAAAGTATCGATGGTCTTAACAGATAAAAATATTTTTTTATTTTATTTAAATACTTTATCCTACTTTTTTTTGCTTATACTGGAGATTTAAATTGGCGTACAGAGCAAAATATGCACTGACAGTAACAATTTAAAGAAAAATATACACCCCCTCAAGCCCCTAGTCAAACTTAGCATAGGCAATGAGCCATGAGGATGTTCTGGGCTGGTGCTGTTTCTGCCAGCTTGGGTCACACAAGGCTAAAACCCCATGGCTCTTGGCCTTGAGCTCATGTCTTTGACCAAGATGAGGCTTTAAGTTTATGTGGAATCCATTGTTAATGGGAATGAGACAGCTGTAGAAGACCCATGTAACCTTGTTGGATCAATAGGTACCCCCAGAAGGTAACAGTCTGGAGGGGAAGATGAGAAGCTGCGCCTCTATATCCAAACCCCAGAGCCCAGTAGTCCAAGGCTACGGTCACACACACTAAATAATCCACTTTCAATCCACTTTCAGTGTTCTTTCCAACTGGATTTTACTGTGTGAACTGGCAAAATCCAGTTGGAAAGTAGATTGAAAGTGGATTGTTTAGAGTGTATGACAACAGCCCAAGTGTGCAGTCAGAGGACCTCCCCCCACACACCCTTGAGGTTACCATCACTGGGTACCATTCACTTGTGATTCCAGCAGACCTATTAGGAGGCCATAGACCACCAGAGGATAGCTAGATTTTTCTGAGTCTGGCAACCACTGGAACAAGTTGTTGGTGTCAAAGCTACCTGAGGCCTTTCAGCTCATGTCCAGGCATGCTGGTTCCGTGGACAGGCGGACAAATATGTGGTGATCCCACTGTGTGGGACCTCCTCCTGCAAGAACTCTGCTATGCCCTGCAGGCTCCAAGCCAAGGTAGGATGGAGGAGATCTTTATTTTTACAGATCCAAGAACACCATTCCATCTCAGGATATCAAAACACCACTAATTACAGCCAACACCTTTTTCAAGCAGGTATTGGTACACCTTTGTCAGATGTGGCAAAGCAAATGCATTGAATGTTTCAATTAAAACACATTTAAAGATTTTATTTGTTTTTAATTTGGTCATCCATCTTCTTTCTTTGTTCCTATTTCTAACTGAACCGTTCTGGTTCCATTTTCTAAGCCAAAACCACTTATCTGTTCCTCTGGCACTGACCTAAAAAGTCCTAAATTGCCTGGGAACTTGATATCTTTAAGGACTGCCTGTTTGCGCATGAATCCTCCCAATTATGATCTATATCAAATGTCCTTTTCCAAATCCCCACATATTAAGAAACTCTGAGAGTGCTTTTTTGTCCGGTGACATCCCTGGTACTCTTTGTAGGTACTACTTGTAGGCATGTTATATACATTAAAGGCAACCATTTCTGTTATTAATCATTGAAGATTGTGATTTCTTTCCATTCTCTCGGAATTTATTTATAATTTCAATTTATAGCCCTCCCCCCCCGCAACACGGGCGAAGGGCGGCTCACAGACAGGCAAAGCCAACACATAAAACAGATTAAAACCATATAAAAACATCACTACAATATTACAACATAATTACAACCTATTAAGTGGTCTAGATGTTCAAACAAGATCTTCCATAAAGATGACGTCTCGAAGATGGTACACCCAATCAGTGCTGCCAGTTCCATGTGACACTGTTGTTCTCTCTTCCCAGGGCCAGAAGCTAGTGATGGTAAAATAGTGGAAAAGAAACACCACAAAATGAGTAGCAGAAACAGTACAAATAAGAAAGGATATCACTGACCCCCAAACACTAGTCTGGATAGTGCATATTACTTCATCTATTTTTACATGGGGTAAAGCCAGCACACATGCTAACACAAGCCATATCTGCATTAAGCACTAAGCCTGAGAATATTTATTCTTAAATAGCTATCATGGATTGGATTTAGACTGAGAGGTTGGCCTTCTCTGTTTTAAGGAACTTGTCTAAAGTGTGAGATAGGCCACTCAAAGCAGAATTGAAGCAATGTTTCTACTTTTCTAAACAAGTATGTTAGGAAAACAACCAGTAAAAACAGGGATTAATATCACTGTCTGCCAGATTTGGGATAAGTATAGTTGAAATCAGCTCTGCCAGTCTCAGTTGTTCACAGTAAGACTCTTGGGAAGGAAGGACTCTGGGGAATTTTGATATATGGATAAGAAATAACTTGACTTCTCTAATAGATTGCTTAAAAAACAGTCAGAAATAAAACGTATCATGAAGGTTTTTGTTTCTTACAAAGCATACAAACAAGAAAACATACTCAGAATATCTCCAAGAAACATAATATTTATAGAAAACTGACAGATTTGGGGAAAAACACATCCAAATAAACAATTTGCCAAGTCAAAAAGGGATCAGAAATCTATATAGGATATAAAACATGATGGGGAAAGGATCTATGTATTAAACTTTCTGTTTTACAGTGGCGTTACAAGTTTACAGAATCAGATAAACATCTTGTAGAAGCAAATATCAGACATAGAGTTTTGCCCAAATGCTGGGACGTCTTTGGATACGTGCTGACATCACAGGAAATGATGTTATTGTGCCATTGGCAGTGTTCTTACATTGCTGGCAGCCTTCCCTCCGGTATGTCTCCCACCTTGTATCTGGCACCCCTACTTGTTGGAGGTGCAAAAAACACATTGGAACTATTCAGTTCCACTAAACATGATATGTGTTTTGATAGGATATTTGAGAGGTAATAAAATACACGGTAATAATAGTGATAATTTTGTCCAACATTTGAATCAGAAAGTGTTGGAAACGAAGTAGAGTGCCTTGTGTTTCAGCCTGGAAATATAAAATTTGAAATGTAATTCTCTACAGTAAAATAATGTAATCATTTTTGGAAGGCCATGTTGTGTAAGGAGACATTTGGGGAGTGATGATTTGTTTTTGTTTTTAATTATTATACTGCTTCAGTGTTGGTTGCAAGTGTGTAACTTGCTATGATTTGATTTGGCTGTTAAGACATATGCCTTGAATGTGCTGGATGTCTTTTGTGTTTTTCTGTATTTTTAGTTAGTAGTTGGATGATGTAGTTCTTCTGTTTGGTATTTATATTGCTTTATTACTTCTAAAGGAGCTGCGGTGGCTCAAGTGGTTAAGATGCTGAACTGCAGGTTGTGGAAGGTTGGTAGTTCAGCAGTTCGAGACCCGGGTGCCGCAAGACGGAGGGAGCTCCCGTCTCTAGTTCCAGCTCCTGCCAACCTAGCAGTTCGAAAGCAAGAAATTGCAAGTAGATAAATAGGTACCACTTCAGTGGGAAGGTAACAGCATTCCGTGCGCCTTGGTGTTTAGTCATGCCGGCCACATGACCACGGAAACGTCTTCAGACAGCGCTGGCTCTTCGGCTTTGAAACAGAGATGAGCACCGCAACCCTACAGTCGGATTCGACTGGCTTTTGAGCAAGGGAACCTTTACGTTTTTTATTACTTCTAAACTATATATCTACAGTTTAAAAGAAAAAGAAAAAATGTGTTTTGTAGATCACTCTTATGGATGCCAATTATGTGATGGATGAGACTCTTGGTTCAGCAACATTTCATGTATCATCACTGAAAGTTGGAGAGAAGAAAGAAGTTCCATTCATCATCAATAAAGTAAGTTCCAAATTCCGTTAGTAAAACCAAGATTCTCTTTATATCAGTGGCCAGGTTCCCAGTGATCAGTATTGTGGTGAGTGTAGAATGTGTTATGTTGACTGGCAGGTGGTGTCAAAGCAGCTGTTTCTAAGAATGGATCCCATGTAGCCCTCTCAAACTCTGCACTCTTTGCTAAAGATAACTAGTAGTTATGCCTTAGAGGATGTCATAGACCAGGACCCTACAGATGGATTCAAGAAAGCATTCTAAGGTGGTGGCTGGCTTGTTCAGAGTGTGGCTTCTGGGCTTAGACCCCATTTTGAATGCTTTTGAGGAAGTCGTGAATTCTGATCATAATATATGCAAATTCTCCACATTATTCTGGTAGCGAATATCCCATTCGTCAGGATGTGTGTCACTTCCATCAAAAGTAGTAGTCTACTACCAGAATAATGTGGAGAATTTACACAGCTACTATCTATGGCCCACTATACAAACTTGTAGCAAATGCAAAGCATATAAGAAAGCAACATCTGGTCATATATATACACACACACACACACAAACACAAAATTCTTTCTGCATGTATTTCTGGATGTGTGTCCAGAATTGTAAAATAAAGAATATTGACCATTGAGGAAGGCCCGAAGGGGCCGAAACACATATGGTCCTTTGGTTAAAAGTTTTATACAGCAATTGTATATGTATAATAACCAGCTTTGATGATATAAGCTTTAAGAGTCTGATATTTAGACTATTTATTTTTACCGTATGTATGTTTTAGTTATGTGTACACCCTAATAAACATTTGTATTTTTTATATAATTTATTTGTTAGCTTGACCCTCTTAGATCGCAGCTACATTTTGGGTTGAGTCCCCCCCCTTTTCCTTCATTAAATGATGCTAGTCTTTACATAACTAGCTCCCCACAAACTGAAGCTTGCAATTTACCACACTTTCTTTCTGTTAAGCTCTCCTCCTTCCTTAAAATTCTCCAAAGTTCTAATGATGGTGTCAATTGAATGACTTTCAGTAAGTCACTCTTAGCCTCAGTTCCCATCTGTGAAAACAGGAATAATAGTATCACACCTTGAAGGGCTGCTGTGATCACTTGGGTGATAAGGTATGTCCAAAATTGGCTAGGGCATGCATCTAAATATGACTAATATCAAAAACTCAGGAACTTAGTTAATATTTTCCCAGGTAGGGAAGGGCCTGGAGGAATTGCAGGGAAATTGCAACACTTAATGAGTCTAAAGTGTTTTTTATGACATTTTTCCTTGATGAAAGCTTTGTGGTGAAATATCATGCTGTCTTGCCTCATTGTGATGCCTTATGAAGAAAGAAGTAGAGAATATCTTTGGATTTTTAAAAAAAGAGTTACTCATTTCTAGAACATAGCTATCCTGGGGTTTTGTGTTTGTGCATGGGGGGTAGGAACGTGAGGATATTGGCCAGTGCCCAAGTGCCAATCTTTTATACTCAACCTTTTCCCTGAGTAGAAACTCGAAGTGGCTTACATCATTCTCTTCTCCACCATTTTATTCCTACAACAACCCTGTGAGGTAGTTTAGTCTGTGTCTATGTGACTGGCCCAAGGTTTCCCAGCAAGCTTCCATGGCAGAGTGAGGATTCAAACCTGAGGCCTCCTAGATCATTGTCCAAGGCTCTAACTGCTGTACCGCAACGGCCCTCTTTTAGAGAGAGCGGAAAAGGAAAATGGAAAGACAGATCTTTATTTTATGTTCTTGCTTACAGCACAAGTAATGTATGTGGTGTTTTTATAGGGTTGCATGCAACTCAAACAAAACAAAATCAGACCTGTCCCTGCTGCTAAGTACCTTACAGTCTATCTATTATTCGTTTATGGTGCCCGTCCTCCCAAGGAGTTCATGGGAGCATTCATTATTTTCCTTGCCTTGCCTTATCCTTACGCAACCCTGTGAGTTAGGTGAGGCTGAAAGTGCATGTGACTCAACAAGGTCAGATCACCCCCTGAGCTTCATGGCAGAATGGGGATACAAACGGGCAGAACAGGGATACAAACCTGGCCCTCCCAAATCCTAGACAGACACTGTAAACACTACATCACGCAGGTAAGGTAATCTAAAATGGATAGTGAGGGAGGGAAGGAGGGAGTTGCATGCTGAAAGGCAAGCTAGGGAGAATGGGTGAAGTCATTGGTTTAGACCCTGGCTGCATGTTCACACTTCCCATGTGAGAGACATTTAGCTCTGCCCTTTGAAAATCCTGAAGGCTACCACTCAGACATGCAGCAGAAACTGGAGAGAAGATTGCATTCACACACGAGAAAAGAGGATCCTCTGTCTACCATTTTTTTCCTGTGATTTATCTCGGATTATCTTTCTCCTTGGTGTTACTTTTCCCTAGGAATTGGGAGGAGGAATAGCAAGGAAAATTATCTTCTATGGAGAGTGATTAGTGGAGATAAAATGACAGATATAAAAGCTGACAAGGTGCCTCTTCCTTCTTGGTGTATTTAACTTTTGATTGCTTATAACTTCAGCATCCTGTGTAGAATTGTCTGCAAACTGCTAGATGGAGTTGGTATCGGGGTATTTTTCTTGAGAATTTAATCTGTAAAGAAAGAACTTCTTGACAAAAATGTGACAATGTAACATTTCTTGTTCAGGTCACAGAAATTATTTTGGAGTTATCTCTTGAAGTTTGGTAAGTAATCTTGATGAACTGAAAATAGAAATACAGGTAACCGTCTCACAAGCAGTCGCACTTCACAAGAGTTTTTGGATTTACTGTTTTGTTAGGGGGACATTATAAAATAGAGACAATCTTATTTCCAAAATTATAGAATTTATAGAATATATAGAAAGTATAGAATTACTCCAGTCGAAACCTGTTGATTTCAATGGTCATACACTGGGGTACCTTTTTTTAAAGTAATTTTATTTAACAATACACATGCTACATCAATACAGAATCAATTAGCTCCCCAAATAATAACATTTTTTGTTTTTATCTATCGCTATAACTAAAAAACCACAAAATCTAAGTATTTCTTAGGTAGGTGGTTTGATTCATATACTCAAAAAAAAAGCAGATATTAGTACCAATGATAAATTGGATACGAAAGCTCAGTTGGAGAAGAAAGATAAAATATCTCTCCCGTGGTACCAGTACTACCAACTACATAGTGCACTAGGTACTGCATTACAATATATGCTTAAAAATAATTATTTAAATGCTTTTGAAGTCCTATTAAAAGATGGTAATTTCAATGTAAAAGATGTAATCCCAATTATTTATAAGTTATTGTGTCAGAATCTATGGTCACAGTCTACTTCGATTCAAGACCAATGGCGAAAAGAGTGCCAGATACAACTAACTGAAATTTACTTACTCTGCCACTTTGACCATGTGATAGTAAGTGGGCAGAAAAGCCAAAGTAATCAAAGATCTCTCAACCAATGTTCCCTCTAAACTGTGGAGTCTTGTGAGCAAAAATTCTACTGTATGAGCTACTGGCATTAAAGTCGTGAGCAAGCAATTTGGCTGCTGCATAAATTAGTCTGCTCTGGAGCCATCCTTCCTGAGCTAAGATAAAAATGTCTGAGCCAAAGGCTAAAAAACTGTGAGCTAGCTCACACTAACTCAGCTTAGAGGGAACACTGCTCTCAACCCCCTCCCATAAAATAATTTTTAGAAGTCCTATGTGATAACTAAACTGACAAAAACTCCTAGCACCTGTATTCCTCAGAATTTGTGATGAATTTAATCTTTTCAAGCAAAAAAGGGTAGGGTTCTGTTTTCACAGTGGTTGAGATTCAGCAAGAAACTTCAGTGTGCACGTGACAGCATGCAGGACTGGTTCATTCCGGTTTTTCGACACAATTGAACAATGTGCCTTACATTTTGATTGCTTTGCGTAATTCTTGGGTTCTTCAGCTTTGTTGTCCTGAGTCTCCCTGAGTTAAAAACTCTGCCAAAAACAATTAAGATGATGCAAAGGCAGAAATCTAAGCTAGCATCTCTCAGTCATGGTTTGAGCATTAGGAGAATGGCAGCATATAAGAGTGGGATCTTCTAGGCCTGGAGGTATGCTGTGGGGCCTTTAAGAGGGGTCTTCAAAGGAGCAAAGGGGGGGAGGAGTAAAAAAGGTGGTTTTCCACCCCCTTTATTCCACAGAGATGGTGAATAGTATAGAGCAGAGGTGTTGAACTCATTTGATACAAGGGCCAGATCTGACATAAACATCACTTTGTCAGGCTGGGGCATGTGTATCGTAAAATGTAACACAAGGTACCAGAGATATTAACTTTGGCCCCGGTCACGCGGCAAAGTTGCTGCAGGAGAGGCACGGATGGTGGGAGGATTATCTGGGCGCGATCACACCCCAACATCTGGGAAGTGGAGCACACCCGTGGCTTACTGCCGAAAATGCGCATTAAAAAACTAGTACCTCCAAAGTACTAGTAAACGTTTGCCATGGGCTGCCTCCAGACTCCCGTGTTGTGATCCTGCTGGCGCGCGGCATTCCCCTCCGGTCCCTCGTTTACCCGTTGGTGCCAAGGGAAGGACCCGTGGTGTGCCGCCAGCACGTCTGATCGCGTAATCGTGGATCAAACTGTGCCAGGACAATTAGCCACACCTCCCCCCCATAATATCCGGCCCATATGACCGGGGCCTTTATAAGGATGATTTCAGATGCTGAATGGCAATAGCAGGTGTGATTGGATTAGGTGTGATATGTAGAGGGGTGGAGATATCAGCACTGGTGTTATATTCAGAGGCATGGAGATATCAGCATTGGTAATGGGACAGGAAACCTAGGTCTCAGTCTGGTACAGGAGGATTCAGTCCAGGAGAGTGCAAAGAATAAATGGAAATAAGTCTGAAGAAGTGAGCAGTGACTCACAAAAGCACATATTCTACCACAGTTTTGTTAGTCTTTAAAGGTGCTACTGGACTCTTATTCTTTCTACTGCTATTAGAATCCACAACATTCAAAAACCAGTGGGGAAACATTTTAACCTTCCAGGGCATTCAGTTGCTGACCTAAGAGCAGCAGTTCTCTTACAAAGTAATTTCAAAGGGAGATCAGAAAGCAAGACTGCTGAATTGCAACTGATCATGAAGCTCAAGAAAATGCAAACTCCTGGACTGAATTGAAATCCAGGTTTCTTCTTTCATTACCAATGCCTGCTATTGTCTTTTGGTGTCTGAAATCACTTTACTCTCCAAGATATAAAGACAGATGGACTCACATTCTAGCTGTATCTGAAGAATTCAGCAGTAATTCATGAAAGCTCCTGCCTTGCCACACATTAAGGTGCCACTGTACTCTTGCTCGCTTTCACTAATTAGGAATGCAAGCTGTGCTATTAGGTTTCTCCACCCAATCTGTTAGAAATGGAAAGGGGGGATCTCTCCAAGTGCCATGGGACCCCCCCATCTCTCTTTCTCTCCCCCTCCATCCCTCCCTCTCTCTGAAGAAGAAGTGTGCTTGCCCACAAAAGCTTATACCTGGAATAAAATGTTTTTTGTTTTAAACACAGGAGACACTCTCTCTCTCAACAAGAGTTTCTCTCTTTTATACTTGGAATAAAACATTTTTGGTCTTAAACACAGGACTCTCTCACACACCTGGAATAAAACTTTTTTGGTCTTAAACACAGCCCCCCCCCCCTTTTCTGCCTTTTTCCCTTTGGCCCCCTTCCTGGAATAAAACATTGCGGGTCTTCTTAAAAGTCCAAGGAGACACCATTCCCCCCCTCTGGCTCTTTCCATCCCCCTCCCTCCCCAGAGGAGGAGGGGGAAGCCCTCAGCCAATAAAGGCTTTCTTTCTTCTCTGAAGCAGAAAATGAGAGAGACTGGCCAAAAGGAGCTGCTATGTAAGAAGCAGGAAGCAGCACACAGCCAATTGCTCTCGGGCCGGATTGCAGCCTTGCAGGGGTCGGATCCAGCCCGCCGGCCATATGTTTAATACCCCTGGTATAGAGCCTGTTCTGCTGCTACCATTACTTTGGGCTTTTACCATTCAAGTAACTTGTACATAATTCTAAAATGTGTCTTTTTCGCTTAATAGTCCAGCTAGGGTCTCAAATGGATTACAATTAAAAACAACAACACAATAATCAGAATAGAAAACCGCCAACATTATAAACATAATCAGGGGTTAAAGCCACCTTGCCACCCCCCCCTAAAAAAACTGTAGCAAACCCCATGAAACTGCAGTAGGTTATAAAAAAAACTTTCCTAAATTAAAAAGGGGTTTAATGATTTTATTTATAGTGCTATTTTGTGGTCTTTTAAGTGCTCTAGTAGACTGTTGTGCTTTTCTTGTAACACTTCAGTGATGATTGATCAATGTGTGTTTATCATGCCTATCTGATAGTTTGTAAAAAACAAACGAGTCTGATAGTTTTTACCTATATTGGAAGCCGCTTGGAGAACTGAATGCTTCAGAGGGCAGAATATAAATATCTCTCCTCATATATAATTGAATAGTGGGTGCCAAAGTTCTAATTCTAAAATGCACTCCCTTAGTGTATGGCTGATGGCACTGCTCCTCAGCATATATCGCCACCAATCAGAAGGCAAAGCCCGGGTCCCGCCCACACCACAACTGCTGTGACAACCTGGTCTTTTGCATATGGAAGCTGATTGGACTTCAGTCCATTCCACCCCCCAAACCCCCCCCCCCCCCGCAAGGCAGTTGGGATTTTCAGTTGCATAACATACCTCATAGGGGAGAGGAGAATGGGTAACAATGGTTACCACTCTCCAGGTGAGGGCTACAGATAACTCAAACATACAAATGCTCTTCAGGTAGCAGAGATCAGTCCCTCTGGAGAAAACAGTGGACTCTGTCATTAAACCCTGCTGAGGTCGCCACAGGAAACTGACACTGTTTGCCCAAAGCCAGAGCACTCTCCCAGAGCCTCTTTCAAGATCCCGTTGTATTTATTTCCGCAACGGGCATTATTTCTAGTAACAAGCCCACCGGCCATATGTTTAATACCCCTGGTATAGAGCCTGTTCTGCTGCTACCATTACTTTGGGCTTTTACCATTCAAGTAACTTGTACATAATTCTAAAATGTGTCTTTTTCACTTAATAGTCCAGCTAGGGTCTCAAATGGATTACAATTAAAAACAACAACACAATAATCAGAATAGAAAACCGCCAACATTATAAACATAATCAGGGGTTAAAGCCACCTTGCCACCCCCCCCTAAAAAAACTGTAGCAAACCCCATGAAACTGCAGTAGGTTATAAAAAAAACTTTCCTAAATTAAAAAGGGGTTTAATGATTTTATTTATAGTGCTATTTTGTGGTCTTTTAAGTGCTCTAGTAGACTGTTGTGCTTTTCTTGTAACACTTCAGTGATGATTGATCAATGTGTGTTTATCATGCCTATCTGATAGTTTGTAAAAAACAAACGAGTCTGATAGTTTTTACCTATATTGGAAGCCGCTTGGAGTGTATGGCTGATGGCACTGCTCCTCAGCATATATCGCCACCAATCAGAAGGCAAAGCCCGGGTCCCGCCCACACCACAACTGCTGCGACAACCTGGTCTTTTGCATATGGAAGCTGATTGGACTTCACTCCATTCCACACCTCAAACCCCCCCCCCCCGCAAGGCAGTTGGAATGTCAGTTGCATATGGAACCTGCTGTATTCTGGTGGTGTGCAGGTCCCAGGTTCATGTTTTAAAAGCAGACTGACACTGTTTGCCCAAAGCCAGAGCACTCTCCCAGAGCCTCTTTCTAGATCCCGTTGTATTTATTTCCGCAACGGGCATTATTTCTAGTTTTATATAAATAAGGACTGATGTGATTGTGAGACTTCATGATAGCATATGCATGAAAACAGTGGTATGTGTGTGTTACCTACTGTGCATGTGCAAATTTGTCTCATGTGCTGGAGCTGTAGGACCACCTCATGGGGGCATTGTAGCAAAGCAGTTAGTCCTTGGTGGGTGAGAACTCTCAAGTCTCACCCTTAATTAATTGTCAAGAGAAAGCTAGAGCCTTCAAGAGTGCCCCTGGGCTATGCTTGGCAAAGCAATCTCAATAACTTGTGTTTTATAGCAGCCTCAGTATTTCTTCTCTCATTCAGTGGCCAGGACAATTCAACTACTTCACTTACCATGGCATTTTGCAATAATTAGTACCTTGAGGGTGAACAAAGTTGTTGAACCAGTAAAGTTCCCAAGTTTGGTATATTTTTTCAAGTTAATTAATGTTTACAGGGAAGTATAAAGAAATTTCTGTTGCAGTTTTTTTTTAAGTACAGTAATTTTCTTGGGGTAAATTATCATGCTTTTAGTTATTGCATCATTTTTAAAAAATCCAATAACAACTTTAAAAAGGTAAAGGTTTCCCTTGCTCGAAAGATAGTTGAATCCAACTCTAGGGGGCAGTGCTTATCTCTGTTTCCAAGCCAATGAGCCAGCGCTGTCTGAAGACATTTCCGTGGTCAAGTAGCCGGCATGACTAAACGCCGAGGCGCATAGAACCTTCCCACTGAAGCAGTACCTATTTATCTACTTGCAATTTCTTGTTTTCCACCTGCTAGGTTGGCAGGAGCTGGGGCCAGAGGCGGGAGCTCACTCCGTCATGCGGCACTAGGGTCTTGAACTGCTGAACTACAGACCTTGCAGTCTGCAGCTCAGCATCTTAACCTCTGAGCCACCACGGAGTTTATTTTATTTAAAACATCTATTAGCCGCCTTTGTACTTTATAGGAACTCAATACGTCTTACAGTATAAATGACAGTAAAACACAATAAAATACTTAAACTGTATTTATTTTTTATGCATAGAAGACATAAAACCACTAAGTTAAAATTAATAATTTAAAACTGCCGGAAATTAATGGAATGCCATCCTGAATAAAATTGTCCTCAGCTCCCTCCTAAAGGTCAAGAGTTAGGGGGCCAGGTGGATCTTCCTGGGGAAGTCATCCCATAATCGTGGGGCTGCCAATGAAGAGTTGCACACTTTATGTTCACTATATTTTTACTGGAAAATAGAACTAAATAGGGGGTTTTCATTGCCACACTCATGCTGTGCCGCTTCCCCTGATCTTTTAGGGCATATAGAAATGGTTCAGGATTTCGCCTTACCGAGAAATTAATATAACCCTGGCTGCCTGGTTAATTCAAAGAAAAATCTCCACTTTTTTTAATGACATGAAGCTTGTCTGTTCTCTCCCCATTAGCTCTTCGACAGACCTCCGCTTCAGCATGGCGCTGTGTGATGAAGAGAAAGCTTTCCGACACCAGCGGAAAATGAAAGTAATGCAGCATTTGAACAGTTTTCTGGGGTCTGAAAAGGACAACCACTTGACCTCTGTTCGTGACGTAAGTTGGAGAACTTAGTGTCAATGCTTATTGGTCTGTCTTTGAGACTGCTGTTGCTTTTGGCATCTCAGTCCTGTCTTTCTAGGTGCATAATAATAGGCCAGGCAATGTTGGGTGTGTGTTTTTATATTCTGAGGGCATCCACTCATTAGATTATGTATTGCTGCAGGGTCTGGTTTATTTTCCTGCTTTCTGTGTCTTTGGAGAATGTTCACTGCTTTTTCATCAGCATACATTGTGATTACTGTCCCTGGCAAAATCTGGATTAAGTTCCAGGATCTTAAGAACATAAGTACAGCTTGCTGAATCAGACCAGTGGTCCATCTAGTCCAGCATACGATCTGTTGTCCTTGGAAAGCCAAGGAAGCAAGGTAGAGAGGCCAAGGCCCTCCCCTGCTGCTGCCTCCCAATACTGGTATTCAGAGGTTTGTTGCCTCTGTAGATGAAGTTTCCCTTCAGTCACAATGGCTAGTAGCTACTGATGGACCTCTTCCCCACAAATCTGTCTAACCATTTAAAACTATTTGCGTTCATGGCCGTAATGACCTCCACTTGTGTTCCTCAAGCTTGTTTAAAACTGAGTGCTTTATGTTTTCATTTTAATTCTCAACAATGGTATTCGCTTCAATACTGCAGAAAATTTCTGCCAATGGAAGGGGTTTCCACCAACAGAGTGGAGCTTTCAAGTGCTACTAATACAGCAGGCAGCCCAGATTTCAGTAAGCAGACCTGAATGCACAGTAGAGAGTTAAGCAACTGTCTCCTTTCCCTGCACTGCTCTGGGGCAAATGAGCAAGCCCGCAATGTGCATTTAATAGATGGAACAAAACATGTGATCTTTGTCTGCTTCCTTGAGCTGTGAGGTATCATCACCAGGTAGTTCAAAGCATAAAGGACCTCAAAGGGAAATGGGTGGAGTTGATACAGAGGGCTAGTGACCTTGGGGAAACACTACGAACACAGTCCTAAGGTATATTACATCCTGTGAAGTCCATTGATTTCAGTGGAGTTAGAAGGATATAACATAGCTTAGAATTGCACAGGTGGAGGAATAAAGCCTTAGAAGATTATTGGGGGGGGGCTGAAAAAGGTGGCGCAATACCATGGAGAGAACAAGGAGCTACTATTTTAATTCAAATAAAAAGCAGGCTTTTGGGTGTAACTCTTGCTTGTTTGATCTCTTATGTTCTTTGGACAGTCTGTATATTTTTTGGTGAACTATAGGGGTGCCAGGATCTTTCCTGACTTAGGCTCTAGTGTCTTGCGCTTAAACTTGCTCTGTGGTAATCTACCAGTAGCGGATTTGCCTGTCATAGAGCTATGGACATAGGGTGTCCAGCTAAGTTGGCAGTGTACCATAAAATACTCCGTTGAACAACAAAAGGGAGTGTGGAGGCGGTGCTAGCATTTGCACCTATTGCAGGGGTCATTTCGTAGAAAAAGAGGTGCAGGAGCTCTTTAGCATAACTCATTAGTATAACTTATTTGCATATGCCACACCCCCTGACATCACCAGAAGGGTGTCAGAAGGCAACACCCACTGCTCAGGCTCCACTGGACTGTTTTGGATTGCTAGCTATTGGGGGGGGGGACGTGCAGACCTGTCCTCACAGAGGAGGGAGAGCTTGTACCTGAATAAAACTTGGTCTTAAAGTTGCCACTGGACTGTTTTGGACTGGAGGGCTGGAAGGAGCTCTGCAACTTACCTGACTGCTTCTTGTTCTGACTGAGGGCTGCTGGGAGCAGGGGGTGGGGCTTGTTGCATGTGCCCGCCCCCTGGGCTCTTTACTGCCGGAGCTCCGCTCCTGTGTGCTCCTGCAGGAAATGACCCCTGGATTTGGGTGCCTTTAATGAGACACAACTTTGAGGTTTTGGGACAGCTATTGGATGCACAGTGTGGGATCGAGCATTGTCTGTATGCTCCATCTCACATTCTGTATCCAAACCCTGCCCCCCAAACCACAGAGCCATGTCTCATTAATGTTATAGCAACGTGTGCCCCTTGTATTCCAGACAGATGGATTTCCAAATCAATCTTTGCCTGATGTGCTTTCTAAGCAGGGCTAGACTTGTGCTTATCAGCAAAAAAAAAAGTGGCATGATAAGATGCTTGAGGCTAGCTGTGATTGGTGGTACATGTTGTGAACTTGTTAGTACAAGGGCACTGATGTGCGTCATTAATATTGCATCTGTGTACAGAGCTGCAGTGATTGGAAAGACCACACCTGTTTCATTTGCTACCAACTGCTGAAGGCACAGGAGGTTTGATCAGGAAAGGAGCTGCTTGCCTTAGCATAGGTGATGAGAACACTGAAAACAGCATCTGTCTTAATCTGAGATAATCCTCCACTGATGTTGGCATGCTCTGTATTTTTATTGGTAGAATAAGAGTGACCTCTTGTATGTCAGCTGTATTGCCTGCGGTTGTTCTGGAAAGCTGGAGTTGTACTCCAGGACACAAAGTGGGAAGTCGGTGGAATGTTCTGCCACTGACACCTGCATTATGGTGGCTGAATTAAGTAGAGGAATTGGTTGTGGTACTGGTAGCCTTGGGAGCTATTGGTGCCTCTTGGCTTCCCATGTGGGCCTTTCTTGTTTGCGTGAAGTTGTGTGGCAAATCTGCTTGAAAACATGAGGGTGCCTTATATTGAATGAGGCCACTAGTCCATCAAGGTCAGTATAATCTACTTGGATTAGCAGCCACTGTCTGGAGTATCAGATCAAGGTCTTTCATATCACCTACTACTTGATCCTTTTAGAAGAAGATGCAGAAGATACCTCTTTATCACCTGGGGAGTGAAACTGGGATCTTCTGCATGCCAAGCACTAAGATGTGGCCCCTTCCCTTGTCACATGAAACTTTTATTGCCCTCCTTTCCTGGCCCATATCTACATTTGTCTTCACCCTAGTGATGGAAGGCATTGGTAGCTTTTGCCATCTTAGAACATGTAACTCGAAGTGAAAGGCTTGGATCCTGTCAAAAAATTACAAGTGATGGAAGAATTTCCATCAGTGGAGTACAACTTGCTTACCTCCCTCTTCCTGCTGCAGCCTCAAATGCACCCAGAAGTGCTACTTTTGGGAGATGGAGCCCCCCCCGGGGCAGCTTGAGAGTAATGCAGAGGCCTGCTGCAGCTGGGGGAGGGGAACTTATTGAAAATCAACTCCCTCTCCTTCCACTGGCAAACATATTGAACGGGATCGAGCCAAATGTCTCTGCGCTGGCAATGGCTTTCTAAAACTTACCGTACTCCTTGGCAGAATATTCCGTCTTTCCTTTCTGCTTCTACCTTTTAATGGATGAATAGACTTGTTCATGGAGCTGCGGTGGCTCAAGTGGTTAAAACGCCGAACTGTAGGCTGTGGAAGGTCAGTAGTTCAGCAGTTCGAGACCCGAGTGTGCCACATGACGGCGTGAGCTCCCGTCTCTAGTTCCAGCTCCTGCCAACCTAGCAGTTCGAAAGCAAGAAATTGCAAGTAGATAAATAGGTACCACTTCGGTGGGAAGGTAGCAGCGTTCCGTGCGCCTTGGTGTTTAGTCACGCCGGCCACATGACCACGGAAACGTCTTCGGACAGCGCTGGCTCTTCGGCTTTGAAATGGAGATGAGCACTGCAACCCTAGAGTCGGATTTGACTGGCTTTCGAGCAAGGGAACCTTTACCTTTTTAGACTTGTTGAGCAACCGTTTCACTTAATTATGATTCCCCCCCCCACTCCCAGGCTTGTGTGTCTGCAGTCTTCCCTGTCTCCTCCTTATCATGTCAAGATCTGCCTTTTGTAGATCAATTAGTTACTGTCTGAAAAGAACTTTCAAAGTTTAAATGGTGGCTAGTAAAAAAAAGAAAAGAAAAAGGAAAGCAGAGTCTGTCATTATTAAGGAACAGCGCCTTGTTCAAAACTACCACTCACTGGGAATAATTTTAAAAAGTGTAGAAAACTTTTCTGTTCTTGTGTGATACGGCCTATTCCACTCATCTTCTCTTCTGCCTTGCTCCTGTCAACATTTTGAGTATGCTTGCCCGAGCGTCCGTCCCAGTTTCAGCCTGTGTCCTGCTGTTTCTTCTTCCAAAGTCATCGATTCATAAGTCACCAGTTCATCATCCCCATTTCCTGTTTCTTTACCTCATTTCTGATTGGCCAGTCAATAGGCAGGTGGCTATTTCTGTTCTATAGACACTGCAGCTCGTACTCTCATAGACAGGTCGTCTCAGAATGTCCAGGCAAACTTTGATTCGGAACTTTACTCTATAGAGATGCCTGGCAGTGAGTTGAGTATGGTGGTGATGGAAAGTGCCATCGAGTCATAGCTGACATGGCAATCACGTAGGATTTTCAGGGCATGAGACATCCAGGTTTGCCATTGTCTGCCTCCACGTTATGACCCTGGTATTCCTTGGAGGTTTCCCATCCAAATACTAGCCATGGTCAACCCTGCTTAGCTTCCGAGATCTGAAGAGATCTGGCTAGCCTGGGCTACCCAGGTCAGGGTGAGCTGAGTATAGCAGAGGTAATTTAAAAAATCCCATTGAGGCTACAGGCTTAAACAGAGAAGTAAAAGATCACTCATCTCATTCTGTCCATAAAATGCAAATATCAGGCTTGCACAGCTTCAGTTTCCCTCAGGGCCACACAGGGTAGAAGGAAGAGGTTTAATGCATTCACTTCCATTCGGTTTCACTACTCAGAACTGGGTTAGCCGCTTTCTTGTTGTCATTTTAAATAAGAAAAGATGTTGTTTTCTAAAAACAAACAAACCCATACTGTCCTTGAACAAAGCAGCATGGATGGATGGGGGACTGGTTTAGACCAGTGAAACTGGAGTTTCCGCCCCTCTCTCCCTTCTGTGCCTGGCCCCAAGGCAAGTTGAGGCTTCTCGTTTGCATTTTATGTACCGAATGACATCTTTGTCTCATTTGTTTGAGCCTTTTGATTGAGCCTGGGCCAAACTAGATGTCCATAGAATTCCTCCCTTCTAAGTCCGACTCTTCGCGACCCCA